TGTCCACGGGCACGCTGACGGCCTCGGGCGCAGCAACCGCGGCGAGCTTCGCAGCCACCGGGGCGCTCACGGGCGCCACGCTGACTGTCAGCGGGGCGGCCTCCGCGGGCCCGCTCGCTGGACTGCTCGGGAAGTACTGCACATCGTGCCGTGCCGGTGTTGCTCGTCTTCAGCTTGTAGTCCAGGCTCTGCATCAGCTCATCCTGGGCTCCGGCGGTGACTACCTCCATGCTTCTTTACATGTACCACGACACGCATTTTCACTCGTGCGGCGAAGGAGCAAAATCGTACACGGACTGGAATAATATTAGGCAGCCTCGATGTCTCGTGCCAGCTGGTCAAAGCTGGGCGGAGGCAGGCTCCGGCGTGACTGCCCGGAACTGGCGCTCGCCCGCGAGCTCGGCTGAGACTGGGGCAGGGCCACGGGGTTCAGGCCCCAGGAGAAGGGGCGCGGCGTGTTGTTGGGGCTTGCGCCTTGCTGAACCGGAACAAGACTGCTGAGGAGGCGGCGGCTGGTTGCGGGGCTGCCTGCTTGCGGGGCTGCCGGACGTGCTGCTGCCGGGGCGCAGCGAGAAGTGCTGGGGCTGAGTGGCGTCGTTCATGTTGTTGGCGGACCGCACGTCCTGCACGGCGGCGTCCTCGCTGCCCTGCTGGGGCCGGAAGAGCGTGTTCTCGAGGACCCAGCCCGTGCCGCGGGCAAGGCCGTAGGCTGCGCCGCCTGCGAGTCCCACAGCCAACCCCGCCGTTGCCGCCGCGCCAACTTCGCCGCGCCAGCCACCGTTCCAGCAACCTCGCCCGCGGTGGGCGCCAGGGCTGTTGCTCCTTCAGCAGAGGCCCCCCCAGGTACCGAGCTCCGCCACACTCGCGGCAAGGCCAAACCTCGCCATCTCCCGCTCTCGGCAGCCGTTCCTCAACGGCCTGCGCGCTTTGCGCCACGCTCCGGGTCAAAGAGAATCTGCGGGTGATTCTCATCCTTGTCCACGTCCTCCATGAGGTGGTCCCCCAACTGGACAGGCGCCTCGGCCACTCCTTGCAACACAAGGCTCCTTGCGGCCTCGGTGTGGGCCTCCCTCTCCAGCCTGCGCCTCTCCTCCTCGGCCTCTCCGATCGCAGCCCCCACGGCCTCCACGGCCCCTCCCTCCAGGGCCTCGCACTCTCCCCTCCATTTCCTCCGCCATCTCCCCTCCATTTTGCCTCCGCAATCTCCCCCTCCATGGCCTCTGCAATCTCCCCCTCCACGATCTCTCCCTCCACGATCTCTCCCTCCATGTTCACGTTCAGATGTTCCATGATACTGTCGGGATATCAATGGACTACGGGAGTTCGAATTGTCTCGAGTGTGTCGAATTGATTCTGCGGACAGCGTCATATCAAACTTGTCAAGCTCTGATTGCACCTCTCGCTCAAACAGGACAACTATCCCCCAGGCCTCCACTCAAAGAGGAAAACGCCCGGCCCGGCTCGCGTCCATGCAAGCCTCGATTGCCGCCCAGTCGCGCACCGACGGCACCCAGCCGAAGGGTTGGGACAGCTGAGCAAGCTGGGAAAAGGGGGTGAGACAACCTGAGACACCTGAGGACACCATAAACGTCGAACAGAAGTGTCTCAAACGTGTCTCAGACCTGTCTCAGCAATAACAAGACAGCCAGCCTAAGATTGAGACATCCACCAAACCAGGAACAGAAGTGTCTCAGGTGTCTCAATCTTAGGCTGGCTGTCTTGTTATTGCTGGGACAGGTCTGAGACACGCCTGAGACACTCCTGTTCGACGTTTAGTGGGTGTCTCAGGGGTTTCTCAGGTGTCTCGCCCCCCTTTTCCCAGGAAGGATCGCCCTCTCAGTCCTCGGCTCTGGTTGTGGGACTGCACCTTCCGGCCACGAAGCGGCGGAGTGTCGACGGGAAGGTGGTCTGCGGCGACGTGACGAGTGGGCACGGCTTGGGTTCGCGCGCGCTCTTCTCTCAAAACGGGCGCGCCACCGTGACCTGCTCAACCTCCGTCTTTCGGCCGATCTCTTCCTGACGAAGCACTGGGCCGGGCTGTGTAGGAGCAAGCTGCAAGTGTCCAACACCAGCGCGGCCCCCAACAGCGGCCCGGAGCTGCGGCTGCTGGGCAACCAGAGCGCGAGGGTCTTCCTGGAGCGGGACGGCGGGGCGCACCAGTGCGAGCTTATCATGATTAACGACAAGGCGCTGGTGCAGACCATGACCACGAACCAGAGGACCCCGGCTGCCTCGTGATCGCGGGCAACACGGGCAACGTGGTCTGCAACACGAGCTTCACGAATTTGTCGGACAGCCGGGTGAAGACGGAGATGGCTGAGGCCGAGTTGGCGGCGCTCCAGCAGCTCTTTGAACTCCGTGGAGGCCAGCAGTACAAGCCGCCCGGGACAATGATTGCCGGGGACCTGCGGCTGGCATCGCCTCGGACGATCTTCGACCGGAACCACAGTGGAAGAATTTGACGGGCACCGCCCGGTGGAGCGACGCAACGGAGATGGTTACCCTCGACTACTCTCACCTCACCAGCGTGCTGCGGGGGGTGTGCAAGGGCTTCCAGGCCCGGCTGGACGAGGTGGAAGCCTGGCAGGCCCAGCGGGGGCCGAAGAACAAGTAGCTGTGTGTGCAGGCCTCCTCGTTCTCCTCGTTCTAGAGGACCCTTGCTCAAGCTCCTTTTTGGGGCAAGAAGTAGGTGTGCGCAGGCCTCACTGCATCCAGTGACGCTAGCGCAAGCTCCTTTTTGGGGCAACAAAGCTGTTTTTTAAATGGAGGCGCTGAGGGACCTGGCCGACGACTTCAACGATATTTGCGGGAACGCGGAAGCTGTACCGACTCGCGAGGCCCGCGCGACCTCGACGTGACGCAGGCCATGGCCTTCGAGGCGCTGAAGGCCGACATGGGCCGGGCAGGGCGCAGGGCAGGCAGGCGCCCCCGGGCCCCCCGGCAGGTGCAGGCAAGTCGGCCGCCGAGGGCGCGAACGACCGGCTCTGCAGGCCGGACCTCATCGACTTGCAGCCAGAACACGCGGGGAAGACGATGTACGGCCAGGTGGTTGATGGATGTCTTTTCACCCGGAGGCCCTTGCCGAAATAAGAACGCAGAGAGGGGGCCACACCCCCAAGCGCTCCGCACGGGGAGCTGACGGGGGGACGACGGGAACTTCGTGGTCACGACGTGCGGACGGAAGCGGCCCTTAGAGGACCGCAACGCCATTGCCGTGGTGGACCGGGGCATCCAGACGCTGAAGAAGGACCTGGCCACGAGGGTGGCGCGCAAGGGCGGGCAGTGGAGCAACCACTTTGAGCGGGCGGCCGGGGCCTACAACGCGCGGCCCCACGAGACGGTGCACGGCGCGCCCGAGGACGTGGAGAGGCAGCCGGCCACGGAGTTCAGGGTCCTGCAAGACAACGCCGACAAGTTCCAGCACAACAAGGACCTCACCGACCGGCGCGTGAAGGCGGTGGAGGACGCGGGCGCCTTCCGGGCGCCGACGAACGCGGCGAGGAGCTTCAACCCTCAGTACGGCGACGTGCAGCAGCTGGGGGCCGTGGACTCCATGACCGTCCGCAGCACGGAGGGCCGGGAGACCCTGCTGAAGCTGGCGCTGCCGGCGCCGCGGCAACGCGGCGGGCCGGCTGACGAGACGGGGCAGGCCGGCGGCTGTGAGGCAGCTGGACGACTTCCTGGCGCCTCCGAGGCCCAGGACCCTCGACTAGCCTCCTTTGAAAATGATTTTTTTAGGCACGACCCGGCCTCCCTGCGTCCAGGGAACCTCGGTCGGACCCGTTTTGGCGCAAAAAAAAACTTTGATCACACTCAAGTTGGAATTGCCTGATCCTGATCGAGCGAAAAAAACTAGAAAAAAGGGTTTCGAGACATTGCGCGGGGCCGTCGGAATTCCCGGACCCTGCTCAAGCCCTTTTTGGGTTAGGGTTTGGGGCGCTCGGGAAACCAACGGGTTGGGCGAACCAATCAAATGAGCGGGGCTGGCATGGGCAAACCGCGCAAATCCGTGCAAAAAAAGCTATTAGTCCCGGCCCTACATAAATGTAGGCCCTGTAAGAATAGCATTTTTGTTGCGCAAAACCGTGCAAAACGAGCTATTAGTCCAGGCCGTACATACATGTACACCCTGGAAGAATAGCATTTCGTGGCGCAAAACCGCGCAAAACGAGCTATTCTTACAGGCCGTACATACATGTACACCCTGTAAGAATAGCATTTTGTAGCGCCAAACCGCACAAATGTCCCTTTAGGGTTTGGGGTCCTCGGCAAACCAAACGGGTTGGGCGGACCAGTATCAAGCCCAAACGGGTTGGGCGAACCAGTATCAACCCCTAGACGCGTTTCTGAGCAGGTCCTCGGAAGCCTCTCCAATTGACCGTGGCCGGGCCTCCGAGCACTTGCCCGGGCATGCCTGAGAGTCGCGACACCGTCTTTGTTGCTCGATATTGCATGTTTTTGCACGATTTTGGGGTTGCACCCTTTTGCACCCTTCTATTGCACCCTAATTGCACCCTGATTGCACCCTGATTGCACCCTTCAGCCGGTTGGTTTTTGCACGTTTTTGCCTGATTTTGCTTGTCTTAGCTTGAGTCCACATGTTTTTTGCACGATTTTGCTTGCTTTTGAGAGATTTTGAACGCATTTTCGGAGCCTCCAAACAGGGTACCAAATTAGTACCCGGTTTCGGGGGGATGGTCCGGTGTCTCCCCCTTCTCCCTCACCTCTGCTGGCTGGCCTGCGCTGAGCTGTATCGGCTAGGGATGGCTTGCAAAAGGCACTTAGAGCCAAGCTCCACATCATCCAGCAATACCCACTGCACTCTGTTTGCATCCTCAAATGCCTTGCACATACCTTCCTAGCTCAAACACCCTCGTTCGAATCAATTTTGATCTTTGCGGATTCTTTCCGTCGCGAGCCGCCTTTGGCTGTTCCTGGGGCTGCGCGCACTGTCCAAGCTGTGCCAAAACAAAAGATGTGTGCCAAAGCTATTCCTGTACTCAAGGCACCTGGACATACACGCCATCTCGGCCTGCAAGGGAAAAAATCCGTCTTCCCCCCACCACCTTGGGCGTCAAGATCTTGTCCAGCATCCGCTCCAGAGCCTTCGGCGAGAGTCGCATGTCTCGGACGCTCTCCTGTTGCCGAATCCAGGACCGGATAGAGCCCTGTGGCGCGGCCATGTTTGCGCTCTCGACTTGAAGCAAGTGCTCCTCCAAGAAGGCTTTCATGTCCAGCTCTTGCATGCACTCGAAGAGAGCCAAGGTGGCTGTGACGATGGAGTGGGGCCGGGGCTCAATCAGTGTGCCGTTGTAGCCGCGGAAAACGATCCTGTCAATGACGGGGAAGATAACCTCCAACGAAGGCACGACAGAGTTCATCATGAAGTTGGTATTCTTGATGTCCCGCGACGGGCGCTCGTTCGTGCCCGACCTTGGGTTCATGATGAACTTCAGCGGCCATGGGACGCTTGTGAAGGATCGGCGCATCCCTCCATCGATGGTCCGGAACTCGAATGACTCGTTCGCACTCATGTTCATAATGAACTGCGGCTTGAACTGGATCGGGTCCCGGTAGAGGCCCCTGGCCTCGATGAATGCAGTCTGATCCCGCAGATCCTTCAGCATCCCGGAGCGGAGCTTGACGCCTGCCTCGACCTCGTTCACGAAGAGAGATCGTCTACCCTTGAGCTGCAAGATGTTCAGGGAGCAGCCAGTGGGGTCTCCAAAGCTAGTGAAGGTCTCTGGCTTGGGCTCGTAATGGTAGTCACCGCAGAAGCAGCGCAGCACCAAGTTCAAGGTGCCCTTGCCGTTCTGGCCGTGCCCCAGATGGAAGAAGCACTCCACGAAGTTCTGACGACTTCCCTTCACTCTCGAAAGAACCTTCAGCAGGAACATGGTGTCAGCGTAGTCCTCGTGGCAGGAGTGCAAGAGCTCCACGCCAGGCAAGATCCTCTGCAGTCGAGCGAGGTCCTCCTCCAGGTCCCTGCTGTAGCGGAACCCCGCCGGCAAAGCCTTGCACGAGGTTGGTTCCGAGACCTGCACCGCCGCAAACTGCTCTTGCGTGAGCACGCGGGTCACCACATCCTCCAAGTCCAGATGCTCCTCCTCCAGTTTGCTCCAGATAGCCGCCACCTCCTTGTGCGGGTACGACCGCTCTGCTGTGCGACTTACGGGGATGCCAGGGTGCATCTTCTTCAGCTGGTAGTCCGAGCAGCCCTGGTACTCCCCCCCATCGTAGACAAAGTATCCTCTGGTCCCGTCCCCATCCAGATCCATGTGCCACCGCATGTCGAACAACCCACCCTTGCTCTTGTTGAGCATGGTTGCCACCTGAGGATGGGCGCAGTGGACCACTCGGGGCCAGCCCTGGTCAGGCCTCTTGCCGATGCACTTCTTCAGAACATCTCGGATGACATCCTCCAGGGTGGCGGCGGCCACAGCGCCGAGGTCACGCCAGCAGCCGTTGTCGTACGTCATGAGGGTCATGCAATCAGCTGTCACCGGGATCGCCTTCATCAGTTCGCGCACCTGATAACCAGTGCTGGTGACGTGGTGCGGCACGACATCTGCAATCAGCTTCGGGAAGTTGGTCTCCCCTTTCAAGCAGCGCTGCCGTACCTCAATCCTTGCGTCCTCCAACTCCTCCCAACCTTCATCCCTGACGCTCCAGTCGTGCTCAGGGAACTTGGTCTGAAGGTACTGCAACGTTTCGTCCAGGGATGCTGGCGCCTGAGTCGACACCGAGGCAATCTGCCTCATCTCGTTCATCATCGTCTCCCTGAGGTGCTCGTGGACCACACAGTAGAGCCCGTCGTGCTCGTAGCTCTGCACCTCGCCGTATTGACGCGCCACATTCTCCACGAGGTTCAAAACCGCCCTCTCGTGCCTCTCATTGAGAAGAGATTGGACGGCAGCAGCAGGCCAGTGGTAGCCGTTCGCTCGGAAGACTTGGGCCAGCTGAGGATGTGCATCAGCATCCTTCTGCATCAACACGGTCTGCTCCTTAGCGAAATCCCACACGAAGGCAGGAACCTGGTCCGCGGTCTTGCCAGCCTTGCCCATGATACTCATGACATGGTTCGCACCGCCGCCGTTCATGAGACCCCGGAAAAGCTTCTTTGCCAGGTCCCGGTCTCCAGTGAAGCCTTCGCACTCGGCTCGATTGTTCACGCAGGCAGACCGCATCGGGGTGCCTCTCCAGCTGGGCGAAGCAATGGCTCATGGACTGGTCCACATCGATTCCTCCAGGAGCGCGTAGCACGTTGCGAAGCCACTTGGGGAAGGTGAAAAGCCCCTTTGTCGCATCCCAAGTGCAAGAGCCTACTTGGCCCTCCAAGTCCTCGATCTTGTTTGCCAAGGCCTCGGGAACTCCTGAGGTGTGGCTCAACCCGGGCAGCCGTCGGCCCTGTACACCTGCCAAGGATCCCAGACAAGTGTCGTGCCAGTAGGTCTGCATCTTGCTGTGGGAGTTGAGCCGTCGCATGAGCCAATACAGCTCCCGTCGCAAGGTGTTGCCACGATACTCATCGGCCTCGCCCTCGCGGTAGACGAGCGGTACGGTGTCCGCAGCTCTCAGGCTTGCCAAGGCGACCAGGGCGTCCAAGTTGACTCCTTCCTCGATGGCAAACACGCCAGTGTAGGTCCGTCCAGCGCTCTTGGCGCAATCAAGCGTGGAAGACCTCTTGCCCTTCTTCTTGCTGGCAGCCGATGCCGGGGGCTGCCACGAGAGCGCCTCTCTCTGAAAAAACCGGGCCTGATGGCTGAGGGACCGCCCTACCTGCCAACGGAGTCTGGGGGACGTCACCGCCTGCCAAGCGGGCAAGCACGGGACGATCCGGGTTGCGCCTAACCGCGCCTGTTGGATGCTCTTCCGCTCTCGGGGCAGCCCCGCTTGGAGGCAACGCAATGCCGTGAGAGGACTCCCCCGGGGTGTCCTGGTTGGAGACAACGGGACTCCTGCTTGCAGCTCGCTTCATTGACCTGAACATCAGGCAACGTGCAGTTGCGACCTAGGAGTTTTTCGAGGCCCCGGCCACTGTGAGCAGCGGGACGCCTGTGCTTCGTAGCCAAACGCAAAATGATTTTTTTCCGTCGTCAAACCCCAGTCTCCCAGGCCTTCAAGTCTCGACAATGTCGTCTGCTGTCAGCAAAAATAGCTTCGAGCTTGGGCATTAGCACATCTCAAACCACCCGAGAGCAAAGAGGGGAAAATCGGTGGCCCCCGAAAAACTAGTACCGTTTGGCACCCTCTTCGGAGGCCTCAAAGGCGTTCAAAACAAGCAAAGTTCGTTAATTAAAACCACAAAACTGCCCACATCACAGCCAAACAAAAACAAGCAGAAAAAACGTTGCAGCTTTGGGATAATGCAGGTGCAATCAGGGTTTGCATTAGGGTTGCAAATTAGGGTTGCAATCAGGGTGCCAAAAGGGGGTGTTACAAACCCAAAAGCCTGCAAAAACAACCCACAAAACCGGGCAAAAGAGGGGAGGAGGATTGAGAAAAGGGTGCAATCAAACAAGCAGAAAAACGTGCAAAAAGCCAACCGGCTGAAGGGTGCAATCAGGGTGCAATTAGGGTGCAATTAGGGTGCAATCAGGGTGCAAAAGGGTGCAACCCAAAAAGCCTGCAAAAACACACAAAAACGGGCAAAAGAGGGGAGGAGGATGAGAAAAGGGTGCAATCAAACAAGCAGAAAAACAAACGAAAAGTCAACCGGCTGAAGGGTGCAATCAGGGTGCAATTATTAGGGTGCTCCCTGTGGTTTGCATCAGGGTTGCAAAACATGTCGATGTAGGAGGTTGGACAAAACCCCAAAAACGGGCCAAAGAGGGGAGGAGGAGATGAGGAAAAAGGGTTTGCAAATCAACCATAGCAGAAAAAAACGTGCCCAAAAAGCCAAACCACCAAAGGTGTGCAATCAGGGTGCTAATTAGGTTGCAATTAGGTGTTTGCAATCAGAGTGCAAAAGCGTGCAATTCCCAAACGCGTGCAAAACCACGCAAAACACGCAAAAAGAGAGGGGAGGGATGAGAAAAGGGTGAATCAAACAAGGCAGAAAAACTAGCCACACGTCAACCGGCTGACGGGTATGCCTCAGGGTGCAAATTAGGGAGCAATCAGGGTGCAATCAGGGTTTGCAAAAGGGGTGGCACCAAAAGCTGCAAAAAACACCCAAAAAAAACGGCAAAAAGGGGAGGAGAATGAGAAAAGGGGTGCAATACAAACAAGCAGAAAAAACGTGCAAAAGCCAACCGGCTGAAGGGTGCAATCAGGGTGCAATTAGGGTGCAATTAGGGTGCAATCAGGGTGCAAAAGGGTGCAATCCCAAAAGCGTGCAAAAACACGCAAAAACGGGCAAAAGAGAGGGGGAGGATGAGAAAAGGGCGCAATCAAACAAGCAGAAAAACTAGCAAAAAGTCAACCGGCTGAAGGGTGCAATCAGGGTGCAATCAGGGTGCAATTAGGGTGCAATCAGGGTGCAAAAGGGTGCAACCCAAAAAGCCTGCAAAAACACACAAAAACGGGCAAAAGAGGGGAGAGGATGAGAAAAGGGTGCAATCAAACAAGCAGAAAAACTAGCAAAAAGTCAACCGGCTGAAGGGTGCAATCAGGGTGCAATTAGGGTGCAATTAGGGTGCAATCAGGGTGCAAAAGGGTGCAATCCCAAAAGCGTGCAAAAACACGCAAAAACGGGCAAAAGAGAGGGGGAGGATGAGAAAAGGGTGCAATCAAACAAGCAGAAAAACGTGCAAAAAGCCAACCGGCTGAAGGGTGCAATCAGGGTGCAATTAGGGTGCAATTAGGGTGCAATCAGGGTGCAAAAGGGTGCAACCCAAAAAGCCTGCAAAAACACACAAAAACGGGCAAAAGAGGGGAGAGGATGAGAAAAGGGTGCAATCAAACAAGCAGAAAAAACGTGCAAAAGCCAACCGGCTGAAGGGTGCAATCAGGGTGCAATTAGTTAGGGTAGGCCTTGCCCATCTTTTCTTGGTATCCTAGTGTAGCCCCCCCCCTACGCAAGAACAGCATTTTTCAACCATTTGTTCACTATTTAAATTATCATCCTTATTCATTATGCATATTTCCACTCAAAACATTTCATAACAGTCTCAACCTCAAAATCCATCAAAAAAGTCACATTTTCTCATTTTCTATTCCATCATTCTTGTCATTGTTAGGATGCTTGAGTGGAAATAGAAGTATAGGGTGGTTCATATGATATGGTTATTGGATGGTAGAAAAGATGGGCAAGGTTAAGTTTATTCATTAAAACAAAATCAAAATATTTTTTTCAAAAAAATAAATTCTCAAAAAATAAACTCTCAAAAAATAAAAATTCAAATATATTATTCCAAAATTATGATAAATTATTTTACAATATTTTATCATAAATTTTGTAGAAATAGTATGGACAAGGTTATGTAGATATATTTTTATAACTTAAGTTCAGGATAATAATTCAATTGATAACCATTAAATTGTGTATATATCTTATCTCTTTCATGCATCATTTTAAAAATAATATGAATATGTCTGACGATATTTATCATTTACAACTACAATTACAACGACAACAATAAGGAATGATATTTTCTATTGTATGAGTTAATTCATTATCTTTTCGTTGTGCTGTTAGATTTGTAATGATATTACCATTTTTCATATCAATAGTAAAACCACATCCGCAGTAATTGCATTGATTATTTATATTGTCTAAAAACCACTGTGTATTTACATAACCTTCTTTAGATATGGTTCTTTTTGCTTTCCTGTCCTGTTCTTTGTAATTTAATATTTTCCTTTCAAAATAACTCATAATACATTTTTGATTAAATACATCATCAATATCTTTTGTATATTTATAAAATTTAACTTTGTTTAAATCTCTACACCTTGTAATTGCAGTCCATATCCATTCTGGATAATTCTTTACCAAAAAATGGTTATAATCAAAAATTGTTATGGTATCATCAATGCTACTGCCTTGGGCAGAATGACAAGTTGAGCAATATGCAAATATAAAATTGCTTCTTATTTTAGCAACTTCTACGGATTGTAAAATTTCGGTTTTGACATTCTTTAATGTAAATATTCCATCGCTTCCGATATGAACTATTTTATATTTGAAATTTACATTAAACACTGATGTTTTAGTTTTAGTATATTCCCTACATGTTAAAAATTCGCCTACTTCGTATTCATCTTTTCTATTTTCTAATTTTCTAATTTCATTTGAGACATTTTTACAAGTTGTATTTAAAAATGCTATGTTGTTGTTAGAATTGCTTATGTCAGTTGTATATTCGAAATATTTTTCAATAACTTTCATAATAGGTAATTTATTTTCAAAAATATCAAATTTAATATTTCTTAGTTTATCCTTATCTTCCTGTGTGTTTTTTTTTACATTCTTTTAACAAAATATTATATTCAAAAATGTTATCTATAATATTATCAGTATATAATTCATAGTCTCGAGTATTTGTTATCTCTTGAACTGGTTTTAATTGCTTGGTGTCTCCCGTTGCTATTATAATTTTGTTGTGTTTATTCTGCTCTACAAATTGTTTAATTCTCCAATATATATTTAAATTACTGAAATAAATTTCATCAAATACGATTACATCAAATTCTGTAAAATCAAATGGTTCTAATTTTGCATCGCCGTAGTTTATTCCAAAAAACTTATTTATAGTCATTGCTTCACCTTCGAACGCCTGTAATAATTTATTAGTAGGACAAATAAATATTACCTTATATTTTTTATCAACCATTTTTTGACATATATATGATTTTCCTGTGCCTGGTAGTTCGCCCCTGATCATAATAGGGTTATTCTGTTTAACAATCTCTATAATGTTATCAGTGTCGTATTCATCCTTAATATCAATAGTTTTACTTTCATGAACTGGTATTTTTATTAGATCATCCTTAACAACTTCATATTTTACATTAGGAAGATTAATTTCTTCGCCTTGTTTTGAAACCTTCCAACCACCTATATTATTATGAAATTCTAATAATTGCTTTGCTTTCTCTACATTGTATGAATCAATTACAAAAGCATCGGTTTTCACACTATATACATTAATATCGTTGACTATTAATTTGTAAATGTCCTGGTTCATTTTAAAATTATGATGTTGCATGAGTAGTTCTTTAATATATCTATAGCCGTTTCTTAATACTGCTTTATCCCTTAATTTTAATATATAATATGATGCTTTTATATTTCTTTCATCTAGTTCACTCGTGTACTCTTCATACTCATCCTCATGCTCTTCGTCTTCTGTACCTATACGTGATAACATATGAATTTTGCCTTCTATCTGTGATAACTTATGAATTTTGCCTCCGTATTCTGTTTGATAATGGATTGCTTCATCAATACTCTTAAACAAAATGCTTTGATGCGCAGTAGCCTCCCCCTTCTCTAATAATCCAAAATTGACATTTGCTATTAATTTTTTACTTAGTATATCATCATCATCATCATCATCATCTATAGTAGTTTTCCAAAGTTCATTAACCATATCCTTATAGTTTGCTTTATGAATAAACGAAGGTTTTTTATAATATAATACTTTAATATTATATTGATTAATAAACTTTTTTAAAAACTTACCATAAACTAAATTATATTTTTTATTAAACATTAAGCCCTCTTTATTCCCCAGTAACGTGTTTGTCATTATGAATTCAACTTCTTCTTTTGATTTAAATTTTAAACTTTCCTCCAAAAGATGCTTACGTTTAATACGTTCCATACTGTATTTATTTGGTATATTCGGACAGTTAACTTCAATATAATATAATGTTAGATCGTGGAGTTCATCAATATTAATTGCATCATTGTACTCTTTCCAATTGTCAAACTGATTAAAAACTGGTATTTCAGTAATATCTATGAAACCTTTTGTAAATGCCTTATTTTCATCAATTTCAGTTTTACGCATTAAATTAAATTTATCCCATAATAATCCCGAA